GTAAAGTAATCTTAATGATAAAAGACAATAACCGAGTTCAAATGCTACAGAAAATAATTGACAAATAAGCATAATATTTGGACACTGCCAGATATGCTAAATTAAGTGTTTGTAAAAATGTTCAATCGGCAGGTAGTCCCAAAAAAATTGCATAAGCCCTCCGTACAAGTGCTTAAGATCGGATCAAGAGGCTTGCTACTTAAAAGTATAAACACAACATTGTCAACAAGCAACAAGGATAAACGTAACTCAAGAAAGGATAAATCAGAAAAATTAACTAATATGAAGGTGTTGAGTAATGTTAACGAGACTATAAAACCAAGGTGAATTGTGTATAGTTGAATAAAAATGAAAAATGGATTATCAGACTTTTAAATCGCAGATCGATGATTCATTTGAGGCAGAAAGCGGAGGTAGGCAGGAAGTGTAAACGGCTGCAAAAGGTTGCTGTGACTCATGCCGAAGAGTCAATGGTTCGTGTTTGATATAATGAAGAGATGTGAGTTCCGATGTAGATATATGAGTGACGGCAATCCATCCGGTGGCGTAAACTTCAATTAGACGAGTGAGAGAGAAGTTCAACTCTTTCTCAATAGGTCGTATAAAATTTAGATGTGAAATCAGGAAATAATGCTTAATATCAATAAATGCCATATCGGTAGAGAGACTCCTGTGGAGATCATCAGTATCAGAGTCGTCCGTAGCATGTGATAAGAATTCACAAGAGTCGTCGTTTTTTAGCTCAGATGAAATGGAATCCGAAATACAAGGCGTCTGCAGTTTCCACGTGTACTCAGGCTCCCAATTAATTGGGGATACTGGTGCAGTGTTAGAGTGAGGGAGGATGTCCAAACCCATGACACAATGGCTTCGAGATTTGAGATCCGAAGATCTGGCATGTATGCAACTAGAATATGTATTCGAATGTGTAAGAACAGAGGACCCAATGCCGATAGATGAGCAATTTATCAGAGCGGATGCAGAATCGGTTGGAGAAATATGGCTATTCTTAGTAGGAATAAAAGAGGTGCCTGAGAAGAAAGTTCCATTGCGCCGAAGCTTCAATTGGCTCCGGTTTCTATCTTGAGAGTGAAGTGACTCATGAGAAATTTGTTTACAAGCGGATATGAATCGTTCGCTTTGGTCGCCATCTTCCTGATTGATTAAGGGATAAATAATGGATCTGTTTAGATCTAACCCGTAATTAGTGTTTGCAAATTCTGGGACTTGGGATTTCGAACAATACACTGACTCATAGATTGAAGAATTTAATTCGCCGTTTGCATCAAGATCTCTTGCTTCGTGGGGAAATAATAAGTCAGTGTTGGATACTTTCGACAAAATTTCCTTCTGAGTCCTTAGCTGCAGGGATGGGTAGCCAGAAAGATGGCTTATTGGCCTCTGATAAGATTTCTGACAGGCGGCTTTAACGAACATGTCAGTGCTGGGGCCAATATCATCGGCATCAAGAGAAAGTTTAACGTAGCGGCCTGGAGTCATATCAGAAGAACAAATGACAGCACGTGTCTTTGAAAACGGAAAAAGGCGCCACTTTGTTGAAGTGGATAAGCCATAATTTAATGGAGTCCCTGGCTTACGAACTGTGACCTTACGATGGTCGGAAGAGGGAATTTCAGTCGCCTTATCTCTTTGTGGGGATAAAGGCGGAGAAGTACATAAAGGTGATTGTGTATTAATGTGCAATCGTGACTCATGTAAAGGGCACTCAACAGTTACAGAAGACATTTTAGTTGGAGGTAGATGACCAGAAGTGGTCGTTGGCTTGATGCAGGCAGTGGTAGGAAAATGTGAGAGTTGAAGAGACGACCTACGAGCAAGCTTATTTACTCCGAGGATTTGAGAGCAATAATTACTAGCATGTGAGGAAGAACGGGGACGAAAAATCCTGTGACTTAACTTCGTCAAAGCCTAAATGAACAGTACATTATCAAGAATGAATAATTAGATATATTGAAGATGATAAATGTACGCATTATTAGTTGCAGGGAATAGTCAAATAAAATAAACAAAATCATCTCATTAGATGGAGGGATTTTGAGGGGAAAAATGTATTTTAATAGGGAGGATAAAAGAATGTATGATGAAGGAAAGAACATAAGGTAAGATAGAGAAATTAGCGAATCTGGGAAAATAAAATAGAATGATTCTGCTTAAGCTAGCCATTATATAGGAAGAAATCGCATAATTTAAGAATGAATAGTCGGAAGCATGCCAACAAAAATGAGACAAAAAGGTAGACACAAACAGAGATTATAGAGTAAATAGTTATACTTCATGTAGCAGAATGTATTGAGTAAAGATTATTTACCTGGCCTCCTAGTCTCAGATAATCAACATGTCCGTCTGTAGACGAATACTAACAAATTTTAAGACAAGGAGAGCACGACGAAAATC